TAACCGTAACCACGTACCAGGTAACCCCCCCGACCCCCCCCGCCCCCCCCCCTCCCTCCCCTCCCCCCTTCCTATTTCCTTCCTCTCTCGTCATCATCCGGCCTTCCTGATCCTCGACTACCTCCCTTCCTCATCCGCCTTGACCGATGAACCGCCGCCGTAGCTCCAAGCGGTCGTTGGCGTGGCAGTTGCGGTTGGGCGGCAGCCGTTGGCCACCGACTGCTACCCGGCCAACGTGTTACACTCGCACTCTTGGGAGAAGCACACGTGACTGACTACCCACTGTGAAGGACATGGGGGACGACTTGTGGAGCGCAGCAAAAGCTGGGGACAAGGCGCGTGTGCGCAAGTGGCTCAAGCGTGGAGCTGGGGTCAATGCCCGCAACAAGGCCGGGTGGACAGCACTGATGTACGCCGCCAAGGGCCACCACAACGAGCTGGTGGAGTACTTGGTGAGCAAGGGTGCTGATGTCAATGCTCTGGACAAGTACAATGAGAGTGCTGCGGTCTGGGCCGCTACAGAGGGCCACTTTGATACCGTGGCTCAGCTACTTGCTGCCGGCGCAGACGTCGATGCCGCAAACGACGACGGCGAGTCGCTCCTGGCTCTGGCCGTCATCTACGGCGACGTGCCGGCGGTTCGTGCTGTGCTTGCCGCCGGCGCTGCGGTCGATAGCTCGGATGCCAAGGGCTGGACTCCGCTCGTCCGTGCTATTCGCTGCCAGTACTACGACATGGTCCGCGAGCTGGTCCGCGCTCGCGCCTCGCTCGCTGTGACCGACGCCAAAGGCTGGACACCGCTGCACTGGGCATCATCGCTCGGCGACCTGCGGGCGGTTGAGTTTCTGCTCGGCGCCGGCGCTGATCCGTCGGCGACTGCTGGGCCCGACAACGTCACGCCGTACGACGTGGCTGGCTCGCTCGAGGTCAAGCTCTTCCTCCAGGCCGGCCATGGGCTCAAGTATCCGTCGCTTGTTCACCGCGGCAGCAGCGGGGCCGCCATGGCCGGCAGCGCGTATACTGAGCTGCAGGTTGGCGGCGACGAGGCTGTTGCCGTCAAGCGGGCGCGCGACCACGCAGCGCGGGCGGCGGCGGCGCGGACGCGGGCCCAGCACGAGACCGAGCTCCTGAGCGAGCTGCACGCGTCGCTCCACGGCGCACCCGGCGGGCCTGAACGTGCGCCCGGCGGCTCAGCGCCGATCCGCACCGGAGTCAGCGCCGAGCTGCAGGCACGGCTGGCGGCGGCGTACCGGTCGTCGTCAGCGGCACGCGAGTCGGCGCAGGTGGCGGCGTCGAGCGCGCCGGCGCCGGGTGCGGCGCTCTCGCTGGCACAGGCGGCGGCAGCCGGCCGGGTCGACGTCATTCACCGACTGCTTGACGAGGGCCAAGCGGCCGACGAGGAGGATCCAGCAACCGGGTGGACGCCGCTCCACTTTGCGGCCCAGGCCGGGCATGCACCCGCGCTGCAGGCGCTCACCTCACGCGGCTTTGTCGACGTCAACCGGGTCGGCGAGCCCGGAGTGACGCCACTGCTCCTCGCGTCGGCTGCCGGCCACTGGGAGGCTGCCGACGTGCTGGTGGCGCACTCGGCGGCGCTCGACGTGTTCGACCCGAACGACGAGTGCCCGCTGCAGCATGCAGCGCGGGCCAACAACTTTGTTAAGGTCCAGCACTTGGCCAGCCTCGGCTCGCCGGTGGACGTCATCGACGCGCGTGGCATGTCGCCGATCCACTGGGCGGCTGTCCACGGCTCGCGCGACATGGTCAAGATGCTCCTCGGGGCCGGGCTTGGCATCAACGACGCGGACGACGATGGCTGGACCGTCCTTCACCACGCGGCGTACAACGATCGCGCCAGGCTCGTGACCTGGCTCCTTCGCCACGGCGCCAAGTCCGGGGCCAAGACGGCGTCCGGCGAGCGCCCTGCTGACGTTGCCTCGGCGTCAGCCCAGCAGGCCATCAAGAACCACATCTACGAGTCGAAGCTCGTCCGCGCCGCCGAGGACGCCAAAGACGAGATGGTCAAGCACCTTGTCGACGCCGTGGGTGTCGACGTCAACGCCACCAACGCCGCCGGCAACTCGGCGCTCATGTACGCGGTCATGTACGAGAACGTCGAGCTCACACAGTTTTTGCTCGCCCACGGCGCCGACCCCTCGGTCATGAACACCGACGAGCGGACGCCGCTCTGGTTTGCAGCGCAGTATGCCGATCCACAGCTCTCGCTCCTCCTCGCCGACGCGCTGACCGCGGCCCATGCCGCTGCCGCCAACAAGCTTGCCGCCGTTTACCTGCAGGACTATTCACACACCGACGCTCAGACGCTCGCATACACGTCGGACAACGACCGCGACGTCTTCGTCTACCTCCGCTCAGCACCGTCGCAGTTTGCGCCGCGCCGCGCCCGGACCGACGCCTCGCCGGCCGCCGTCGACGACTCGATCATGCTCCACCCGCCGCCGCGTGTCGACTTCCGCTGGTCCGCCCCGCTTGTCGACTACCTCATGGCTGGCCGCAAGTCGATGAACGTCAAGGACTCTGCCGGAGAGACACCGCTTTTCTACGCCGCTCGTACCGGCGACCTGGACCTTGCCCGCGAGATGCTCCTCCGCGGCGCCGCTGCCTCTTCGGTCAACGACGCCGGCCAGACGCCTGCAAATGTGGCCGCCGCGCCAGCCCTCGGCGACATGCTTGCCTCGTCGGCCCGGGACCCCATCCACGTGTGGAAGTCGAAGAGCAAGTGAAGCCATAGTCACTGTACCCCTTGAATCCCGCACTACTGTGCAGCACGATTGGCGCGACCCGTCGTTCGCAACGTCGTCGTCGTCGCCGTCGTCGTCGCCGCCGCCGCGGGTCGGAGTTCCGATGGCCGAGAGCACCTGCATGGCGCTAGTCTGCTCCGAGGCAGCCAGTGCGCGCGAGACAAGCTTGCCGGCACTGCGCGAGTCGACTAGCGAGGCGGCGTCGTCCATGTTGGGCATCCGCACCGATCCCATCGACTTGCGCACCGCGTGGCCGCGGTACCGCGACTGGACCACTCTCGCGGCAGAGTCGAGCGCTGCACGATGGCGCGCGGCCTCAGCATCAAACCCGCTTTCGAGCAAGCCAGCAGCACGGTTGACCACTCCATGCGCACCCGCCGTCTCCACCAGCGACGGCGCATCGTCCATGCCCGGCACCTTTACCGCGCCCAAGCTCGTCCGCACCACATGTCCGCGGTACCGCGACTGCACCACCTTGGCCGCCCTCTCCAGCGCCAGGACCCGCCCCTCTGCAACCTTGCCCAGTCCGCCCGCAGCCGCACCTCCAGGCGCCACACTCCCGCTTCGTGTCATGTCCTGGGTTGGGTGTGGGTGTGGGCATGGCGTGGTCTGCTGAGCGTGTCGGTGTGGTTACGCTGTTTGGCGGCCTGTGCGCCCATCAAACAGCATTCTCGCACTCTCCACAGCCTCACCCATCACCCCACTCAACCCATCCACCCCATCCTCCAACAACCCACCTCCACTCACACCCAATCTCTACTGCTCCTCTCCCATCGCCACCTTTCTTCTCCTTTCCTTTCCCCATCGCCACCTACATTCTCTCGCTCCGCCGCGATCGAGAACCCGATCGTTCGCTTGCGGCGAAACGGGTTGGCGGCGAGTAGGGCGTGGGCAAGACATGGTGGAGATAAAAAAATACGCAACCTGACACTTCACTCGCGACACTGCGTGTGCCTCAAGCACAACTTCAACAGTCTCTGGTCTGGAGATCAACATCGCCAAGAGCAAGACTAGAGACAACGCTGGACTCGGCAGACTTTTCTAGCTCTCTTACCTCAGCACCTGGACAGCAAGGTATCACCGCGACAGCAACATGTCGGTGACCGAAGCTCAGGCGTCATGGTGGCAGACGCTCACGCTGCGGTTCTTCAATCCGCTGCTGCACCTCGGGGCCAAGCGAGCCCTCGAGCTTGAGGTAGGTGGCAAAGTGTTGAGGTGAGCATGCGTGCAGGTGGTGGTGCCAGGTGGCTAGGCTCCCTGCGAAAGAGCGGCGTGTCTTTGGAGGAGCACGTGCGATGATGCGGCCAAATCGGCGCTTCACTAACTCCGCAATGTGGCGCACACGAATGATTAACGGGCTCACGTGGTTCGGCGCTGGCTCCGCTACCACAGGATCTTGCGCCGCTGCGGGAAGAGATGCGGACAGGAAGTGTGGTGGCGCGGCTGGATGAGAGCTGGGCCGGCGAGGTGCCTGCGGGCCAGTTCGAGCACGCTCCGACGCCACGCAAGTCGCTGCTGCGGGCGCTGGTGGACGAGGCCAAGGTGCCGCTGAGCCGTGCGGGGCTACTGGGCTTAGTCTACGGCTTTGTGCCGTTTCTCGGCCCACTCTTTCTCTGGCTTCTCATCCAAAACCTAAAGGAGGACTCGCCATCGGTGTGGATCGGCTTTGGCCTCGCTCTCGCCATGGGCCTCTCGACGCTCACCATGGCAGTGTCGTCGAACCACGCTTTCCGGCTTGGCCTCCACGGCGCGGTCACCATCCATGCGGCCGTCCTCGGGCTCATCTACAACAAGGCGCTCGTGCTCTCCAACACCACCCGCCAGTCGCACTCGGTTGGCGCCATCGTCAACATGATTGCAGTCGATGCCACGTACATCTTTGAGTTTGTCATCCGCGGCACGGACGTTCTCGTCCTCCCGCTGCAGCTCATCCTTGCGCTTGTTCTCCTCTTTATCCTCCTCGGTCCGTCAGCGCTCGTCGGCCTCGCGGTCATCCTCCTCGCCATCCCGACGATGGGCTTCATCTCCAAGGCGATCAAGAAGCACATCCTGACCAAGCTCGTCCGCGGCGACACCCGCCTCAAGATCACCAAGGACGCCATCCAGGGCATCCGCGCCATCAAGGCCCACGCCTGGGAAGACGCATTCACCGGCAAAATCCAGGAGCTCCGCGCCGCCGAGCTCGACGCGCTGCAGAGTTTCTATCTGGTCCAGTCGGGCCTCGTTGTCGTCATCGCTGTCCTCACTCCGATCATTGCGCTCACCACGTTTTCGACGTACGCCGGCGCCGGCAACGCACTCACCGCCGAAACCGTTTTTGCCGCTCTCGCCATTTTCCAGCTCATTGCTCTGCCGATTGTGCGGTTCCCCATGCTCGCCTCTCGGGCTGTCTCGATGTATGTCGCCGTCGGCCGCATCGACGCCTTCCTTCGCCTCCCGGAGCGGATCCCGCTCGACCGCGCCTCTGACCGCCAGCTGGTTGTCATGGCGTCGCCGTCAGGGAGGCCGTCGTACGAGTCGCGCGACGCGCCGCCGTCGGCACCGGCTGTCCGCATCGTCGACGGCGATTTTGCCTGGGAGGAGCGCAAGGCCAGCGCCGAGCCGGCCGAGGCCAAGATCGTATCTGCCGATGTCGAGAGCGTGGCAAGTGCGAGCGAGAGCCCGACCACCACCCTCTCGGGTATCAATCTCACTGTCCCACACGGCTCTTTGACAGTGGTTGTTGGCCCGGTTGGCTGTGGCAAGTCGTCGCTCCTCGCCGCCATGCTGGCAAACATCTCGATTGTCACCGGGTCGGTGGCGGTGACCGGGCGGCTGGCGTACGTGGCCCAGCAGCCGTGGATCGCCAACGCTACTCTTCGCGACAACATCGTGTTTGGGCTCGAGTTTGACGCGGTCCGGTACGATGCGGCCGTCGCAGCCGCGGCGTTGCGGCCGGACCTTGACGTCCTTGCCGCTGGCGACCTGACCGAGATCGGCGAGCGCGGCGTCAACTTGTCGGGCGGGCAGCGAGCACGGGTGGCGCTTGCCCGGGCCATCTACCGCGACGCTGACGTCTACCTTTTGGACGACATACTCTCTGCGGTCGATGCCCACACCGGCGTTGCCATTTTTCGCGACTGTATCGTCGGCAGCCTGCGGACGCGGACGAGGGTGCTTGTCACTCACCAGCTAAGCCTCCTGCGCCACGCCGACCAGGTCGTCTTTATGGGCGACGATAAGCTCGGCACCATTGCCGCCGTGGGCTCGTTTGACGAGCTGATGGCGCAGAACCCGGCGTTTGCGGACATGATTGCGAGCCACGCGACGCAAGCCGGCAGCGAGAGCCCGGCCGCGGCCGCGGCCTCGATGCTCTCGCTCGACTGGGGCTCGTCGTGGAGTGAGTCGCTCTGCGATGGAGGCGTGGGCCACGCCAAGGCGCGGGCTCGCGCCGAGTCGAGCATCGACATGCCGCCGCCGGCCACCACCGCCGTCTACTCGGACTACGAGTACTACTCGGAGAGCGAGGGCGGGTACACCGACGAGATCTCAAGCACCGCCGAGAGCGAGAGCTGGCAGGGAGGCGTAGGCAAGGTGATGCGGGCCAAGGCGACGGCGTCGACGACAGCATTCTACTCGCTCGACGACGATGCCGAGGCCGGGCCGGCGCCAAGTCCGGCAGCCGGAACCAAGCTCATGACCGACGAGGACCGAGTCGAGGGTGCGGTCTCAAGTGCGGTGTACAAGGAGTTTTTCTCCTTCATCTCGCGCGGCCATCTGGCGATCATCATCGGCCTGTTTGTGGTCTCACTGGCGCTGCTGATGAGCAGCTCAGTCTGGCTTGCACACTGGACGCAGGAAGACACAGCACGGGCGCGGCGTGGCGAGTCGGACCGGCGGATTGGGTACTACGTCGCGGTGTATGTGTCAATTCTGGTCGGCGCGCTTGTCCTCACCATTCTCCGCGAGACAGCGTTTGTCAAGGCGATGATGGCGACAGCGCTGGCGCTTCATGCCAGGCTTGTCGACAACGTGCTGCACCTCACGGTGCGGTTCTACGACACGACGCCTGTGGGGCGGGTCATCAACCGGTTTTCCAAAGACGTGGGCGTGGCGGATACCAAGGTGCTGATGATGCTGCGGTTTGGGATCATGCTCACGGTCGGGCTCAGCGGGTACCTGGCGATGGCGTCTGTGCTCACGTTTGGGGCACTGCCGGTGGTTATGGTGCCTGTCGTGTGGGGCATGAAACGGGTCTTTGGTCTCTACCGCAGCTCAGGGCGCGACCTCCAGCGGATCGAGTCGATTACCAACTCGCCGATGCTGGCGCACTTTTCCGAGTCGTACACCGGCGCGGCCGAGCTGCATGCGTTTGAGCGCCTGGAGCACTTTTCGACGATCAACACTCAGCTTGTGGACAACCACCATCGGGCGTACTACACCAACAAGCTCGCGACGCGATGGCTTGATCTGCGACTGGCCGGCGTTTCGGCGGGCCTCGTGGCAACAACGGTGGCGCTGGTTGTTGTCCTCCGGCCGCTACTCTCGCCGTCGTTTGCCGGCCTTGCGGTCCAGTCGATGCTTGCGCTCTCGGGCGAGCTCAGCCTCATTATCATGATTGCTGCCGAGCTGGAGACGGCGATGACGTCTGTTGAGCGGATCCTGACATATGTGCACCTTGTCGACGCCGAAGACGTTGACGCGGCCGAGGTCGAGGTGCCGGATGGATGGCCGGCAGCGGACGGGCCAGCAACTGACGCGCCGGCGGCGATTGCTTTTGACAACGTCTCGATGCGGTACCGCGACGGACTGGAGCTTGCGCTCCGTAAGGTGTCGTTCTCGATTCCACGCGGGGCGCGGGTGGGCGTGGTCGGGCGGTCCGGCTCGGGCAAGTCGTCGCTAGTCCAGGCGCTGCTTCGGTTCATCCCACTTGCCGGTGGGCGGATCATGGTCGACGGACTCGACACGGCGCAGGTCTCGCTTCGGGCACTCCGGCATAACGTGTTTCTCATTCCGCAGGCTCCGGTGCTGTTTGAAGACAGCATCCGTGCGAATCTCGACCCGCTCGGGGTGTGCGACGAGGCGCGGCTGTGGAAGGTGCTGGAGCAGACGCGGATGGCAGAGGCGGTCCGCAAGCTGCCGGACGGGCTGGAGACGGCGGTGGCGGCGGGCGGCGGTAACTTTTCGGTCGGCGAGCGGCAGTTGCTCTGCATCGGGCGTGCGCTCATTGCCGAGGTTGGCATTCTGCTGCTCGACGAGGCGACGGCGTCGATCGATGCAGAGTCGGACGCGGTGATGCAGTCGATGCTGCGCGACCACTTTGCGGTATCGGGCTGTACAGTCTTTACCATTGCTCACCGGCTCAACACGCTTGACGACTCAGACTACGTGCTGGTCATGGATCAGGGGACGGTCGGCGAGTTCGGCCCGCCGGCCGAGCTCAAGGCGCGTAAGAACGGGCTCTACCGCGGTCTGCTTGACGAGTGGGCGGCGCAGAAGAAAAACGCGTAGCTACGACTCGTAGTCATCGATGGTGTAGCGGGTGGAGGCATCGCAGTCGTAGCTGGACTCGCTGGATGTCGACGCCGCCGCCGGAATGAGGATGCAGCCGCAGCAGGCGGCCATGTGGGCGAGCCAGAACCGCGAAGCAACCACCATTGAAGCGAGCGAGAAGCCCCAGGCGACAATCATGAGCACAAACGAGAAGGAGAAGCCAGCGTGCGGCGAGTTGCGGTAGCCCGGCGAGGAGAAGACAATGACGGCGTAGAGGAACCAGGCGAGGAAGAAGCCCGCGGTCGAGGCGTAGAGGGCAATGCGGACGGTCCACTTGCGGGTGTAGGTGGGCGACCATGAGCGGAGAGCAAGAGCGCCACCAAAGACGACGGCGACAGCCGAGGCAATGAGGGCGATGATGGCAAAGGCGAGGGCGACGCCGCCTCCCGCCGCGGCGCGGAATGACGACGGCCCCACGTATTGCTTCAACACATCGGCAAGATCCGAGTTGCCGGCGCACGACTCGGCGGCGGCGCCACCAGGGTTGGCGCAGTGGCGGGCGAGGCCAACTGCGATGGAGGCGCGGCCGTACTCAACGGTGAACCAGCCGAGGGTGGAGACGGCGACGAGGGCGATGATGGCGGCGAGGGCGGCGAGGGCCACAACCAGGACCGGAACGCCGCGCATGGCCAGCTCTTGCTCACCATACCAAGCCTCTTCCTCGACCCGCGACCGCGGGCGGCGGAGGATCTTGCGTGGTGCACGGAGCGCATCGTCCTCCCCGGGTGACGAGGCCGAGTGTGAGTCAGACGGGGTGGACGAACTCCATCGTCTGGCCTTGCGCGACTTGGACTTTGAGGACTTGGGGGATTTGGGCGAGGACTTTGAGGACTTGGGGGACTTGGGCGACTTGGGGGACTTGGGCGACTTGGACTTGGACTTGGACCTGGACTTGGATGACTTGGACCTGGATTTGGACTTGGGCGACTTGGACTTGGACTTGGACTTGGACTTGGATGACTTGGACTTGGACTTGGAGGACTTGGACTTGGACTTGGCCGACGACATGTCCGGACTCTGCTTCCACGGCAGCGACAGGAAGAACGATAGGGGTGCGGCGGGTGTGTGTGTGTGTGGTGGGGGGGGGAGGGGGGGGGTGTGGTAACTACGTAGGTCGTACGAAGCTATA